ATTATGAACATCAGGATTTAAGCCAGCACCCCTTTTTCAACATGAACATTAGAATTTGTTGTCTTAAGGTTTAATCAACTTGCACAAAAGAATCATGGTAAATGACATGCACAAATCTGTTTGCTAAACAAAAGAAGAGAAACTTTATATAATAACAACATAAAAACAAAACATGCATTGACTTTCTGAAATCTAGATTTTAGTATTATCAAGAAGTGGCCATTTGTATTTCATATTTGGCCATGATACGCGTGCTCTCTTTGTACCAATAAGAATTAGTTTCTTTAATTGAGGAGAAACTTCAACCAACGACAGTCACTAGTGGCTTGAGTGTATTTGTCCTTAGTGAGTATACATAATGAAAGGTTTTAGGAGGTAGCATGATATCCATTCCTCCTAGCATCTTCACTACTGCACTCATTGGTGGCCTCACTTCTGGTGAGTCTTGAACACACCATAATGCTACCACTAACATTTTCTCCGCTTTTCCTTTATCCTTTTCTTCAATCCCACAAGTCTTTGTCATCTTAGCCAATTTGCTTTTCTCGTATTTCTCCCATACATGCTTAGGAAACCAATCAAGGCTTTTAGATGAACTCATAATTGTGTTTCTTCTCCTCCCAACTATCTCAAACAACACCATTCCAAAATTGTACACATCACATTTGTATGTTATGAGATGATTCTTTAACAACAATTTTGGAGTGGAGTAACTAGGGGTTTCTCTATGCCTAGTATTTGAAACGTGGGTACGATCCCCATTACAGAGTTTTATTAGCTCAAGTCAACAACTTTAGGGAAGAAGTTTGTATCAAGGAGTACATTTGCAGGTTTTACATCGTAATGGATGATTCTCTCTTGACATTCTTCTTACAAATAAGCAATACCTTTGGCTGTCCCTATTGCGATTTCATGTAATTTTTCCCACTCAATCATTTGTTTTCCTTAAACAAGTATTTATCAAGTGATCCATTTTCCATGAACTCATATACAATCGCACTCATAATTGATCATAGCAAAAACCATAAAGTCTAACCACATTAATATGATATGTTTTTCCGATTGTGCCTATCTCAACCATGAACCACTACTAGAATTAGGGCCTTTTTAGGTCAAGCAGATTGATCGCAAAAGTTAGTTTTTGACTGAACTAGAAGTATTTTAGTTAATATCACTAACCAAAATGTTGGATTGATATCCACTGTGTGAAATAGTATCTTGGAAAAAATTTCATCTTAACCGAAATAAATATTTAATTCAGTTAGTATCACTGACCAAAGAAGTGGTTGAATAAATCATTAAACAATTCTTATATTTAGACAAATAATTTAACCGAACTAATAAAACATTATTTAAATCATATATTTCAGTCATTATGATTGACCGAAATCACAAGGAATGAACATTTGAGTGACCAAGATATTTCGATCATTTTACATGACTGAATTTAAGGTAAGGGATATTTTTAGTATTTTGAACAATATATTTCGATCAAGGTACGTGACCGAAGAAAGGAGAAAGTCGAGTGAAACTATTCATTCTATTTCCATCAAGAATCTTGACCGAAATGTTTGTCCAAATTAGAAAAAAAATTAAATTATTTAATGAATTGTAATCTACAATCTACATAATAAATATTAGGTTAAATACCCTTTTTGGTCCCTCTACTATATGAAAAAGCCCCTTTTTGGTCCATGTACCGAAAAAATCCCTTTTTTGGTCCTTACTGTTCACAAATCCGACCCATTTTTAGTCATTCCGTTAAATTTTAGCTGATGTGGCAGGTTAATTAATGGAAACATTTATTCTTTTTTTTTTTTACGAAATTACGTGAAAAATCCATGCGGCAAAAATTAATGACATGTTAAATTTTTTACTTTTAATTACTGATATACCCTCGTCTTCTTCCTTGGCTTCTCCTTCCTCCAGCCTTTTTTTTTTTTTCTTTTACCTCTAGGTGAACCCAAGAGCCTGGGTTCGCGAGGAACCCAGCTCGCTTGGATCGTTGGGGAGGTGGAAGAAATTACATTCTCAGACATTCAATTCCCTTAAATTTTTAAAAAAACTAACAAACAATACAGCTTTAGCTTGCCTAAATTCTTCCCCTGCAGTTCAATCAATCCTCACATTCTTCAGAGTTCAATCTATACATACTATGAAACTCAACATTAAAACAAAAATCAATTTCCAAAATTTTTCATGCAACACTAGAAACACCATCAATCCCCAAAATTGAAGAGCAAAATCAAATAAGAACGCGAGAAACATAATCAGTGAGATCGCCTAATTGGCGCAAGATTCCAACAAGTCCATCAACATCGACGCCATCAAGGAGAGCTTTGGGATCGTCCCTATCAGCTTGCTTGTACAGCTCCGGCTGCCCCAACCGGAGATTGCCGTGGTCCTCCCCGTCCTCCCCGTTTTGATCCAAGCTAGCTGGGTTCCACGCAGACCCAATGCTGGGTTTCGAGAGGAACCCGAACTGGGTTTCTCACAAACCCAAAGCTGGGTTTCGAGAGGAACCCAGCTCTGGGTTCCTCGCTAACGCAATGTTGGGTTTCATGAGGAACCCAGATCTGGGTTCCTTGTGAACCCCGCACTGGGTTCCACGAGGAACCCAAGATGATGAAGATGATTCTGAAAAAGAAGAGGAGGGTGAAGAAGAAGAGGAGGGTAAGGATGAGGAGAAAGAAGAAGAGGAAGAAGAAGATGAAAAAATTAAAATTAATTATGTTTAATTCATAAATTAATAAAGTAAAATTTTTAATTGGTATAAATGACACATAATATTTAGATAAAGTGTTTACGTGTATTTATAATTTTGTCCACGTCATTTATAATTGTACATGTAATTTCCATGTCATTTATAATATTGTTTATATAAAAAAAATGAAATAATTATGTTAATTAACGTGATAAGTCAACAAAATTTTAACGGAGGGACTAAAAAGGGGTTGGCTTTTAAAATTTAGGGATCAAAAAAGGGATTTTTTCGGTACAAGGACCAAAAAAGGGATTTTTTCAATACAATGACAAAAAAAAGGGCTTTTTCCTATAGTAGAGGGACCAAAAAGGGTATTTAACCTAAATATTATAATAAGATTTAGTATAAAAAATGTGATATTAATATCATGAATTATATACAATTCTTTTTTATTTAATTTGTGGACCTTTTTAATTATTATTACAATTATTTACTAATAAATATGATTAAATTTTCATCTATGCAAAAATATGAAAATAAATAAAAAATACTTGGCATTTGCAAAAAAATCTGCAAAAATACAATATATAACCACATATGAAATCATATAAATTAAAGCATGCAAAAAAAAATAAAAATAAATGAAATATATATATGTATGAATGATGTAATAAAATTACATCCATAATTGTGGCCCATTCTTCACCAAATTAGAGAACCTTTGCAAATGAAAATTTAAATTATTAGTATAAACACCAAAAACATATATATAAGATAATAGAAAGTAAAGAAAAATGCACATAATCAAATAATTAAAGAAATTGAAAGTAAAAGAGAGATGAAAGTAAAGAAAGGAATTAGTAATATTTAGGAGAAAAAATTGTGAAGAATGCGAATTAAATTTGAAGAAAAAGACTAAAGAAGAGGATTAATCAACAAGTAGTAGAAAAAGAAAGATGAACACATGAAGATATAATGAAAATTCAAAGAAAATTGTAGAAAATGAAGAGGAATAAACGGTAAAGAAATGTGTTTAAGACATTAGAGAAGAAAGAAATGAAAGAGAAGTTAGAGAATTGATGAAAATAGTTTACCATATTGTATATAAATAGTCAGTAATATTTCGGACAATCATACTGACCGAACTAAAAAGGGTGGAAATTTCAAACATTTTCCATAAAAAAAATTGAATGGCAGCACGGGATTGAAACATTTATGAAATTATTTCTGTCATACATTTTGACTGAATTACATGTAGAGGGAAATTCAAAATTTTCTAGCAAAGATAAAGGGTTTTTTATTTTTATTTTTTTGGGTAGCTTATTTCAGTCAAGCAACTTGACGGAAATAATTCTTTTCATTGTTTGGTCAAGTAGCTTGACCAAATTAAAGATGAATTTTTTTTTTAATTTCATAAAATCTAAAATCAGATTTGCCAAGAAGCACGAAAAATTTGAAATTAGATTTGCCATGCTTGTTTCGGTCAGCATGATTTTCCATGCTTCTTTCAATTTTAGAAATGTGACTTGGGATGTCAAATTGGTTCAGAATTTTTATTTTGGTCAATTTTAATAATATTTTATGTTATTTTTAATATTTAAAGTTAAGATAACAGTAGATTTTTTTCCTTTTTATTCTGTCAAGTGACTTGACCGAATAAACTAGTACTTCATAATTCGGTCAACCTACTTGATCAATTTGTCTTGGCGCCAATTGACACCAAATTATTTCGGTCAAGTCACTTGACCAAAGTAAAATTAGACCGAATTATATGCCTCTTTTCATTTTTTATGGACAAATGAAATCATTTTACATGATATTAATATTAAAAATAAAATTTAATTTTATAATTTTTATATAAATTAAT